AATAGAATCAAATAAATTATTATTAGTTTCTTGATAAACACAAACATAATAATTAGAATAAAGTCAGAAATGTCTGGTTTCTTACAATAAATTTATTAAAGTATACAATTTAAAACTTTTTATTTATTATGTAAATTTCATAAAAAGGTATTACAAATGAGAATAAAAAGTCATTTATAGATATCATCCAAAAGTTGTAAATGATATTATCATAATACATTAGCAAAATATCATACTTTATAGTACTGCATAACGCTGTTATATTAAATTTATTATATATATTTTTTCTTTTTATAATTATGTATTTCAATTAGATGTTTAAGTTAAATATCACACTTTTATCAATCCAGCAAAAGATTTTTAATACAGTAGAGCATTGTTTATCCGAATCAATTGGGGACTGGGGTTGTTCAGATAACTTATTTTTCAGATAACCGATTATGTATGAAAAAATATATTAACCTATCCCATCCTGAAATTTTTCTCCGTTGCGTTTGCTTTGCGTTGAATTTTTGTCAATGTTAAGCCTAACGTAAACTTTTTAAAATAATAATCGTGGCTATTGTATCGTTAAAAATTATTTCTTTATTTTGTACAAACAAAATAAATATATTGAAAAATATAAAAACAATAAAAAATTATACTTAGAAGTTAATTTAGTATCAAAAACGTAAAATATTTGAGTAGCCCAAGACATAGCCAAAGATTGCAGCGCCACAGCACTGGCAAAAATTTAAATTTGCCAACTGGAATTCTTTCGGATAACCGACTTTTGGATAAACGACGCTCTACTGTACTATAAAAACGTTTTTAATCATTTTAAATGATCTTCCTCAGTTACACCAAAATAGAACATTAAAAATCGAACATAAATAAAATTATGGAATAAATATAAAAATCAAACGGAAAAATGTGCATGCAGACTAAACATAAATAAAATAAAATAAATGATATAAATAAGGCCAAAGCAACGAAAGTGAATAAAATATAAGATATAAGATGAACCATTATTATAAGTATTGATTTTTATATTTATTCCATAATTTTATTTTATGTTCAATTTTCTATTTTGGTATAACTGAGAAAGATCATTTAAAATGATTGAAAACGTTTTTATGGTATTAAAAATCTTTTGCTGGATTGATAAAGGTGTGAATTTTAAATTATTCACTATCCAGTATATAGTTTATTTTATAAATCAGATGTTTGCTTTTGTAATTTTATTTGTCTTTATCTTTCTTATTTTTAATTGTTTTACAAATAGATAATATCTTGAATGAATAAGTTAATTCTTTCAGCACTATTAACAAGTCCAAAAGAGGATTCTTTAAATGGATTCTATCAGATCAATGACAGATTTGTTAATATTTATACTAATAATATAAAATAATAATGTCATATGTATAAAATAAAAGAAGTAAAAGGATTTCAGGATTAAATAAGTCAAAATAGCTTGTATCAAAAATATAATATCCAAAATTCAATCTTCCTTAAACTAACATTTTTTGTAAAATAAAAGTAATTTCTGGTAATTAATACTTTTTTATAAAGAATTTTAGTGATTGAACTTTACATCTTGCTTACTGATTCTTGAATATACATCAATACATCAACAAAAATGAATTAAAAATGAAATTATTATATAAACATTTGGAAATTTTAGTCTAAACAAGTGTTTTTCAACCAGGGTGCCACTGCGCCATGAATTGGGGTGTTGCAAAGTTTAGAGCCTTCAGGCATTTTCTTGGAAATTTACTTAAGTGTAGTTCAAGATAACTCATTGTCAGTTCTATTTTGCTATGAGATATCTAGTAAGCAAAGAAACTATGATTAATCGCATGTTAATGTAATGTTCTATGCTATGTGTACGCACGACTTGTCACGAGTTCGCCCAAACCACATTGCTTGGCCTTTATGCAGTGGCGGGGCAAGACCTAAATTTGATGTGGGCAAGGTACATTTCGCGAGGCCTTCTGGTGGCGCAAGAAGACGGATTTTATAAAATAGAAAGCAGTTGAAACTGTCAAATTTTGATTCCTACAAATGCAAACTATAGTCTTTAACTAACATTAAAAAAAAATTAAAGAAACAGAAATTTCCTGCTTTTAGCCTTACTGAACTCCTTAATAATAGTATTGTAATTCAAATCATAATTCAATAGTATCGTGCTTCAATAGATAAAACTGCCAAAGCTGAAAGTCTTTCCTGACCCATTGTATTTCTTAAATAATTTTTTTATTAGTTTTAATATTGAAAAGCTCCTTTCAGTGTAGGCAGTACTTACAGGTATTGTTAACAAAATTCGAACGGCAATGTAAATATTTGGGTAAATTTCTTTCAAGTTATTTTCTGTTATGTATTGGAGCAGCTGTTTCATATCTTTAATGAAGTTGGGTAAATTTGGGATCATTGTTTGTAATTCTTCATATAATTTGTAAGGTTGTAAGTCACTGCTCTCACTCACTCGCTGGACTGAATGAACTGAAATCTTGACAGTTTTTTAATATTTGCTCTTTTCGAATATTTTTTAACTTGCTTAGATCATAGAGAAAACCAAAATTTTCAAAATGTTGATTTAAAGACAAATCCTGAATCCATATTGCTTATTATAGAATCAATCATGGTGTTAAAAAAATCTGTTTCATACCTGCTTTTGGGAGACTGTATAGGTTGATCGCTGCCTTCATCATCGAACATCCTTTTCTTTTTGGCTACCCTTTCATTTTTAAAGTCTTTTGGCAGTTCATAACTGCTATTCTCAATAAACTGACGAGCGTCAGACAAGCATTTTTCGAATCCAGTTTGTCGATATTCTTTGATCCAGTCACAAAATGTACGCAAATGTTCAAGAGCATTGCTTAAATGGACTTGTAAAGATTGCCATAATTTGCTTATGATATTAACATGCGATAATATCTCATACCATATATGTAATGATATGATAAATTCTAAACTGAGCATTTCGTTTAAAACCGAATCACAATCACTGAGTGTGTCTGATTGTTCCGTTTGATTTTTTAAGCTTTCGATGCATTCGACATCAAATTACAATAATACCGCCTTCACTGCCTCGATTCTGCTTTCTCACCTTGTGTCTGATAAAGGCTTCAAAGTAAGCTTTAATTTGCCTTTGATTAATTCCCAGCGTTTGCTGGAACTTGAAAATAGCAAATAAATTTTCTGAATAAAACCAAAAAATGTTTTCGCTGTCACAGAAGAATTAGCTGCGTCTACCGCAGCAGATTATAGATATGACAACCGCAAAGTGTAAAAAATGTCCTAGGATTAATATTTAATATTCGAGTTTTAACTCCACTATTTACGGGATACTTTACTGCAATACTTTGATTGGCTTTATAGCCATTGAGGATCGTGAAAGTAACGTAAACAAACACAATGGGAAATCCCCAGCTCTGGCTGGCAAGGATTCCCTGCGATAGCAACCCAATGCCAGCAAATGTTGCTAGACAAATAGAAACAAATTTGGTATGTCAATATATCTATCGTTTTATGACGAGTAAAATTTTTTCGTTGAGTTTACAGCTTTTATGTAATGCATAAACCTTCGAAGCGCGAGGCCCCTCGGACAGTGAGGCCGTAGGCAGTGGCCCACGTTGCCCATGCCTTACGCCACTTCTGCCTTCATGTTCCCAGTCCCAGTACCAGGCCAACCACCAGAGAAGAACGACGTGGGCACTTGTGTCTTGTATATGCTTTAAAAAGCATTGCATTGTACTTTGAAAAGCGTGTGGTTTCAATCACAAAGTAGTTGCATATTACAGTATTTTCATAGTATTCAAAAGCAAGGATGACAAATAAACAATTTTTATCATTTTTTTAATTTAAATTTTTTAAATTGATATGAAAAAGATAAGAAAAAAATTAATGAAATATTTATTTTATATATGCATCAAAATAGTATAAAAAAAAGTAACAAAAATTGTTTATAAATAAAATGATAATATAAAATAATAATGTCATATGTATAAAATAAAAGNAAATTTTTTCGTTGAGTTTACAGCTTTTATGTAATGCATAAACCTTCGAAGCGCGAGGCCCCTCGGACAGTGAGGCCGTAGGCAGTGGCCCACGTTGCCCATGCCTTACGCCACTTCTGCCTTCATGTTCCCAGTCCCAGTACCAGGCCAACCACCAGAGAAGAACGACGTGGGCACTTGTGTCTTGTATATGCTTTAAAAAGCATTGCATTGTACTTTGAAAAGCGTGTGGTTTCAATCACAAAGTAGTTGCATATTACAGTATTTTCATAGTATTCAAAAGCAAGGATGACAAATAAACAATTTTTATCATTTTTTTAATTTAAATTTTTTAAATTGATATGAAAAAGATAAGAAAAAAATTAATGAAATATTTATTTTATATATGCATCAAAATAGTATAAAAAAAAGTAACAAAAATTGTTTATAAATAAAATGATAATATAAAATAATGATATATTTGATAATAAAACTATATTTAAAAAACAATAGCGAGACTATTATTTTATATGTAGGTATTTCGACAAAATTCAATGAACTTAAATTTTGATTTTGAACATGTAGGAACACTTTTGCATTGTGCGTAATATTCGTTTTCGCGAAAAATTCATCTGGCCCATTAGTCCCCTTATTAGCCCTCTTATTCAGATTCTAGATCCGCCGCTGGTCAAGGGTGTCACGATTTGTTATTTTCAATTAGGTGTGCCACTCAACGAAAAAGGTTGAAAAACACTGGTCTAAACTAACCATGCCTAAACTACAGCCTCCAGAGGCAGTAGTTTGGGCATGATTAGTTTAGACTATAATTTCAGACTTGTTGGATGTCATAAATATAATTTACAGAATAACATTTCTTATTTATTGTATTTTTGATAATTATATACTACAAATTTTTAATGTATAAAAATAATAATTGATCTAATACTTGTGTTTGTATTTTTGTTATATCTAAATCAAACTTATTTCATTCATATATTATTATATATTAAAAAAATAACTTACCACTTCTTGACCTTGCCCAAGTGATAAAAATTTTAATTTATGATCTTCAAATCCAATTTTTGCAGCAAAATTTAAGATTTCAAATAAAGGATCAGCTCCATGACTTATGATGAACAGCATTGGATTATTGGGAGTACTTAAATTATAAATTATCTCAAAAGGAATTGTGGATGGAAGAACATATTCATTTCCTAAGATATTTGAAATAAATTTCTTAACACCCAAACAAACACGATCAATACGAAAACAACGTAATACTAAAAGTTTCTGAAAATGATTCAAAGAATCTTCAAAATCTGGAATTGGTTGTTGTTCTGGTTGTTCACAATAAAACCACTGAAAAAAAAAATTGCATAATTTTAACATTCTGTAGATTTAGTTATCAATGTAGTTTCATATATTACTTTATTTTTCATATTTCATTAGTTACAAGATTAAATATAATTAAAAAAAAAAGCTGGGAATGTTGTTGCTAGACTTTTCCAGCATTCTTTATTTTTTTTTATCCCTAATAATTACTAACATTACCAATATCTTCAGAAGTGCATAAAATTACTAATATGCATGATTACTTGTAAAAAAGAATTTAACTATTTAAAAAATATTACCCTCCCTCACCTGTTCAAAATATCTGGTAAAATTTTACAATCCTACAACCTAGTTTATGTCATACTTCCATTCCTTGTACAAGATCTTGTTCATGAAAGTTATAAGTTGTTTTAAATTTGCACATAGATATGCTTGATTATACAGAGTTGGTTGTTTGCACATGTGTGTTGGTATAATTTGATTGCATTTTAATTTATTTTTCCATTGAGTTTGTACATTAAAACTGAAATTTTTATTCATGATTTTTTTTTAAAGTAAATTATGGTTATGAATATCTGTTGGCATATTTGCACAACTGTAGACCTTGTTTTGCAGTTGTATAGTGAATAAAAGGCATTAGGCTTGGATGAGAGGATTTCTTCAGATATAAAATATTCTGTGAAAATTGGTCTTTTGCCTTCTGGTAGTATTTGTGAGAAGTGTAATAGGAAGTGATCCTTGATGCTGCAAGTGGATCTGAAATATCCTTTTATCATTGTTGTAAGTTTACTTGCCTGTTTTACTTATTCATAGTTTAAGTTTGCCCACAAGCCACTATTAAGTTTGCCCACTCAAAGCTGGCACTACTTGATGTTATATAGTTTTAGGGAGCACACCCCCAATCTGCCACTGAAGTGCAAGTAATAGCAAGCACTGAAGCACATGACTACATGTGAAGCATTGGTCAAGACAAGTAATAGCAAGCCTTGACAATGTGGAGCATGGAGAATAGGAAATAGTACTAATGAATGGAAAAAACTGACCTTTGGAGGCAAATATCTTGTGAAGGGTCACATGTACAGGTATGGTTCCTTTTGACTTTTTTGCTTATACAGAGAGAATTCTAAAATTCTGGGGTGGGAAATCCCTCATTCAGAGTTCATGTCTTACTGTCATGTCATCTCAGCAAGAAAGCACAGAGTATACTCTCATTCATGTATGTTACCTTCTTTTTACTTCGTTCTCCTATGTAGATTGAAAGTGGTTTATGATGTAGGAGAGGTTGTAGGATTGTAAACTATAACCAAATATCTTTCAGTCACCTTGAAACATTGAGAAATGCAAAAAAAGTTGGGTTTTTTTTCTGTATGTATGGATCTTAATGTGTTTGGTGGTGGCATGATTTGTTTCACCCACTTTGAAGCTTAATAACTCCTGTGCCTTTTGTTGAAAATTTCTGAAATTTTGCAGGTTGGTTCATATATTAGGAAGAAATATATCTGGAAATTTTCAGGAAAATCAAATTATTGATTAGAAAGATATTAAGGTGGTGGGGCTACATCTTCCCAAACCAATGTTAATGTCTTCCCTTTTTTAATCCTGTATAAATTTTATGTTTTTCATTAAAAAACTTTTATTGTGTTTTCTAGAATTTGAGCCTGTTCTATGCAAGTTCATATATATAATAGGGTATTCCTGTATATTTAAACAAAAAAATAAACAAATTTACCTTTTTCCAATTTATTTCATTAATCATTATGCTCTGAAGAAGATTATTAAAAGTTTTAGGGAAAGTGTGCAAAAGACTTAAAATATCTTTCCAACTTTGATAAGGAAGCCAATCATGAGGACACTTTAAATCAAATCCTCTGGTAGAAATATTGCTATTTATAAAAAATTTCATTTCCTCTTCATTTATAACTTCTTCATTTTGTAAATATTTTAAAGCCATTTGAAAGGATAGCAGTAACTTATGCTTTTCAAAGATACCTTGAAAAAAGTTCATTAAATTTATTAAAATATGAAAAGATGAAAAACAGTCTGTAAAGTTATAAAGTGAAGACTTTGGAGATATAAAATACAATTTTCATATGAAAATCACATTTTCTCAGTATATTTTTGATTTTTTGGTAATCTTAGAAAATACATTTTGTTAATCTTAGCATATTTTAAATTTGAATCATTTTATAATAAAAGTTAGATTTAAAACAAAGGTCTTTCTAATTTGACATTACTATAAAATATTATTACATTTAATTGTGCTTATACAAATTTTTTTCATTTATTAAAAAAATTAAATACTGTACAATCTTACATTTTGTAGGTAATTTTTTATCTCACTAAAGGGAAAATCTCATTAGCCTAATTATCATAAATATACTGTAATTTTGTGTGAACAAACCACAGCAATGTATAACTTACAAGATATACTGCACAGAAAATTGCTAAAACAGAATTAAATTTGTATACATACATATACCACTATACAGTAGAGCATCAATTATCCGACTCAATTGGGGACTCAGGTTGGTCGGATAACTGAAAAAATCAGATAACCAAAAAAATACATTATTAATATAGTATATTAGTATATCCCATGTAATTAGTATATTGCTATTAACCAACTTCGCGTTGAATTTTCATCGATGTTACGCCTAACAAAAATTTTTTTTTAATAATAATCATTGCTATTGTATCGTTAAAAATTATTTTATTGCTCACAAAACAAACAATCATTCATAATTAGAAAATTAAGTCTTGTTTAAATAGTGGCTTCCCTTCAATGGTCGAACCGTGTTGCCAGCTAAAACACGCAAAAATTTAACAAAAATAATATTAAAGTAGTCAAGACATGGACAAATGTTGTAGTGCCACATCACTAGTGGACATTTGAAATTTGCTGACTAGAACGGTCGGTTAACCGATGTGACGGTTAATCGGGGATCGGATAATCAATGCTCTACTGTGTATATATTGTAACTTCAACATGGCCATTAAAAGCATGACACTTACTAGTATGTAGTCTAAAATGTACAATCTAAAATCAAAGAAGCAAAAACACTATAAATTTCAATAAAACTTTCTATTACTAACATTTTCAACTTTATCCAAAGGTTTTCTTTGAGATACTATCAAATGTTAGAACTATCCAAATAATACAGACAGATGGAACATAGTATACAAATTTGAAATAGGCTGTAAGAATGTTTCATGTAAGGCATTACAAGTCAATAACTTGAAAAATATAATTCAAATAAAAAAAAATTGTGTTTTTATTTAAATTTAAGCTAGCATTAGTAACTAGTGTGAGATTGGGGATAGAAGAAATTGAAAGCAAAAAAAAATTGTTAATTTCTATGATGGACCAATAAAAGGAACAAGTGAACAGAATAAACCAAGATACTCGTGGGAGTTGATCCATTGCTCTCGGGTGAAACAAGACAAAGGTAACAAACCAAAATGTAACAGAACAATAATTTAATTTGCTGGCAATTTTATCCCAAAGGAGGTACAGCATGTCAAGAGTTTTCTTGCGTAGTACATTAGAATCCTGACAATAATATTAAGAGACCTTCTTTGTTAGGGATTTACATGGTAGAGACAAAGAGTTTGAATTTGAATTATCACCACCTTTCCTTACAGATTTGAAATTTCATCAGAGATCTTCGTTCCACTATTTAAAGTACTCCCTTGCACCTTTGTTTTATAATCCACTATGCTTGTTTTCCACTTTCTCTCACTCAGATACTTGGTGACAACTTCCATGCTCAACTTCCACACTCTTCATACACTAACTCTAACTCTTAGAAGAGCCCCACTTTCCATCAACCCTTTTTCTTCCCTTTTTCCCCGGGGGCTTAACAACCACACCAGTCATTCCATTATGGCCAGGGGGAACCAAAAAACTTATTACGCCCTAGTTGAAGGAAAACTTGCAACTCAACAAGGGTGTTGGCAAAGTTATTTAAAAGAAGATGAGAAGTATTTTGTTCGTAGCATGTCCGCAGAAAATGATAAATTAGAATCGTAATCAAGCCACTGCCATCTATATCTACTGCTTTCTCGTAATGAGAGGCAAGGTCAGAATATAAAGAACCAGGATACCCTCATGTAGAAGAAACTTGATCCATAGTAATCATAATCTCCTTAATCGCATCTGCAAAAGCCGTCATTAGACACACTAGAATACATAATATTAGAATAATAAATTAATGTTTTATGATACCAACTCTCCTTCCTAAGTTTTTGTTCATCACAATAAATGTTCCTAACATCATTGTGTTTACTAATAAATAACTGCTACATCCCAACCTACATGCCAAACAGAAACCTCCCACTATTATTTATTTGTTTATATTTTTTATTCATTGCCATCATCTAAGGCAGTGTTTCTCAATGGGGACGATATCACCCCCATGTGGGCATTTTTGCATGTTGAGGTAGCAATTAGTAACAATTTATATTTTGGGGAGGCAAAAACAATTTTCTGGACAATATAGTAAAAAATTATATTAAGAATAATTAGATATTTTATTCGTTATATTGTACAATAATTAAACAAATAACATTATACTAATCACTAGTCTATTCAATGCAGTACGAATTTGGCGTTAGCCTTGGCCCTTGGCATCGGAATTTTGAAGTGAAGGAGGCGATACAACGTAACAGTTTTATTGAAGGGGGCGACGATTTGTTAGAGGTTGAGAAACACTGATCTAAGGTAATTATTCTAAATTTAAACAGAGATTTGTCAGTGGTATGTCCCACTTCTGTTCAGCAGAGCTGGATGTATCAGAATATTAGATTGAATCACTAACCTACTTTATTTTGTCTTCTTTGTTGTTTACACATTTTTTCTATAGGTCACTGCCTCTCATTGTAAATCTGTTTATATATTAAAAGCAAAATGTTCTATCCCAATTGAAACTGAAACCAACACTACAAAGAAATAGTGTGTAAGTAAGTGATATCATATCGCATATGGGGTCTACAATTCATGCCTCGAAAGGATCACCCGTTAACTTCCTCTGTGGACTCGGCATGAATTCAAGCAAAAGGTTAACAAAGAGAAAAGAAGGTCTTTATATAGAAATAGGAGACACAAAAAGACTTCAGTTTTGACTCAGACATGGAGTTGAAAAAACAGATGGCTATTCATTTGCTTCAGTAGCAACTGTTTGATTTTTAGAAGTTTGATTTTTGAATAATAACCTTTGGCTATATATAGAATACAGATTTAGTTTTATATTATTTTGAATAATTTTTATGTGTATATACATATAAAATTATATATATATTAATATATTGATATATAATATACATATTAAAATGTTCCATCACAGCCATACACAAATAATGTAAATTTAAAAACTGATTTCATTTTAATTAGTTTTGATTTCATTTTTGTTTTGGTTTCAATTTTGGTGTAAAGGCCAGAGTTTTAATTATATTATTATTTTTAGATTTTATAATTATTTTAATAATTATTAATTTATTATTATTTAATTAATTTTACTTGCATTTTTTTTGAACCCTTAATTATAATTTTTTAAATTAATTGCAACTCTTTTTTTTCTTTTAACACGTAACTATAGAAATTGATTTAGTGTTGTTTCACACAAAAGATAATCAAATTTACATTTATTTTAATTTCTTTTTAGTAATTTCATTAATTTTTGTTTTATAAATTTGTCTGTTTTTTAAAATTTGTTAAAAATTTTAATTTTAAATGATTTAACATTAATTCAATGATTGGGCTTCCTAGTATAAAATAAAATAAAAATAGAAATCATCATTAGACAACACGCACAATAAAATATAATATATATAACACAGAACATATAATGTTTATAAACCTTCATACAAAATGTAGTTTAAGTAAGCCCTCTCTTCTGAGAATAAGCACTCTTCATACAGATAATGGACCTTTTAATGCTCTCTGAGCAGAAAGAGGTCCAAATCCTTTACTACCAACTACCTTCAAAAAGAAAAAAATTGAACTGATAAGGATAAAAATTTACTATTTTCCAAAAACCTTTTTAAATGTCACAAAAATAAAATCTGGTCTTTCCTCCCCCCTAAGTGGGGCAGAAAATTTCAGATGAAACAACAGTTTTTTATATATTTGAATTCTCTAATAACAAATAAACTATTATTGAGAACATAAAAAAAATGATAATTTCAAAAGTATGAGCATATGCATTTAGTATTTTGAAAAATAATGACCAAATAATAGTGAAATCTGTTTCAATTAATTAGTTTATAAAAATTTGCATTATTGTTAGACCATTATCTTTAAAATGTACAGTACAAATACATAGCTCATAATTTTTGAAATTATCATTTTTTGAATAAATGTTATTAATAAGAGTTTATTATTTTTAAACACAGAATTCAAAAATATAAAAATATATTGGGATGGTTCCATTCAAAATTTCCCTGCCCGGCCAGAAAGGATGATATTAGCCAGGCTTTATTTTTATGTCATTAAAAAAAACCTCTCAAAAATATTACTTTTATTCTTATCAATTTCTTTATTAGAAGCATATTTTCTAAGTTATTGATTTGAAACACATTACATAAAACACCCTATTTATAGAATGTTACAATGCACTTAGAATAAAATACTTTAAATTTTGTAACTGTCAAAAATATAAATGGCTGCCACACTGCAAAATTTTTAAAATTAATTTAAATTAATTTTAAACAATATTATTATATATTTTAATAATAATTATAAATGCAAAATATACTTGAAAAAATTTTAAAATAATGGAGTTGATCCATTGCTNAATACTAAATAAAGCTGGAGTTGTGAATCAAAGGATTATAGACCCAAGTGCGGAGAAAAAGAGGCAAAGAACAAAAGATAAAGAAGTGAAAAAGGTTGAAAAATTACGGGTCCATATTTGCTTAACAGAAGATCTATTTAACGTTTCTCACTACTACATCTTTTGTCCTTTCTCATCTTTCCCTCCTTTTCCGAAATTTGGGTCTATAATCTTTTGAGTCACAACTCCAGCTTTATTTAGTAATCCTTCGGCATTCACACATCTCCAAGTATTTGAAAATATTTTCTTTCCACTCAAAAATAAAATATGAATAAAGGTTTACGGCTTTGTGAAACTTCTTTTTTGAGTTTATGCCATTGAAATAAATAAATAATAATAAATTAAAACATTTGTCGGTTTTATTTACACGTTTTTTGGGCCGCATTGGGAGTTGCTTTGGGCCGCATGCGGCCCGCGGGCCGCGGGTTGGACACCCCTGATATAAGGTTTGTTTGTTACAACAGAAATGGCCATTTAAATGCATCTATAGTGATTTTAAATTCAAATTCCATAAAAATCAGCCACCTTCTCATTTAAATGACATCTTATGTTTATTGGTTGTTGCTTAATTTATACTTTAAAATTTATATTCCAATTTTTATCTGTCTATTTATATTAATATTAATTTTGTTTTGTCTAGAATATACTTTTTATTTTAACCAATTATATATGAATAGCTAAAGTATTGTTGTAAGATCAGTATTGTTGTAAGATCAGTATTTTTAAATTATATTTTAAATAGTTTTAAGTTTTTTTTTAGTCCTTGTTTAAGCTCATTTTGTTGCTTAATTTATGGACATGTTACACACCTATGATTGAGTCAGAAGACCTTTATAATGTAGACATATTAATTATCTTTATTGATGCAAATGGAGCATATAAATTTAATTGTAGTGTCATATGTGTGGTATGCATTTCAAGGAAGATTAAATTTCACTCCCCTGTTCAGCTAATAATGACAGATATAAAATACTAAGGTATGTTAATGTGATAGTTTGTTATGTGATATGATGTTGCCCACAAAGAAAACGTACAAACAAAAGGAAAGGCACATGACAACTTCTAAGGTTACACAATCCTTTCTTTATTCACGACGACTTCTAAGGCACACGATAACTTCTAAAGTTACACAATCCTTTCTTTATTCATGACAAATGGGTTAGGTTCTAAAGAATTTCAACTGTTCTTGTAAAACTTTACAAAATTCGAGGTGCGTCACATCAGGATTTTTTTCTTTGTTGGGTTTTCATACAATTTAGGAATATAACTTTCTCATAGAATGTAACAATTTTCTTAGCCTAACTGAATACGTAAAATCTTACTTAACCCTTCGGTCTCCAGTTCAAAAACTGACCAACTCGTCAATCGTTTTTCACCCAGTCACCCTACTTCCTATTGTTCTCCTCCTGTTTGTGGAATGGCTAATACTACCTAAAGGCAATAACGGTCATCCCAGAAAGTTCCAGGAATGGATAGAAGAAAAAAATAGAGGAAATCACCGAAATAGGATAGAATTATGACTATATAAATATACAAGTTTTGTTATATATATATATATAACATATTTAAAATTTTTGTAAATTTTGTATATATTTTCTGTATTTTACTTTGTTAATCTCGCCCCTTTTGGAATGAGGTTAACAAAACCAATAAAATAAAAAGAGTTCGAGTGAGGACCCGAAAGTGAACGTTCGTGTTATTTTATAGTCTCCAATTTTCTTTGTCTTGTTCAACCTACACTCGACTTTATTTATATTTAAAAATATGATATATACCTATGCATCCAAATTCATAAACACTTGATGTAAGTTTATGAATAATATTTTTTAGTCTTTTTATTATATTGATATCAGGCACAGAATTTTTTAGTGCAGAAAGAAATACTCTTAAGTAAACTGATAAAGAAAAATGATACATATTATTTATCATAAACATATCATTTAATGCAAAAAAATATACAGCTCCTATTTTGGCAATGGGAGAATATGCACTACGACTCTGTTCAATTTCAGCTGTTGCGAATTCTGCAAGTGATAATTTTTCATTTATCTGTAAAATAAATAGTATATTATAATTATTTTTAAACATTGTTCCTTTTAAAAAACAAAATACTAACTGTAACTGAATTCTATACATAATATAACAGGAAGTATAAGACAAAACTTAAAATAGATTGATTTAAACAAAGAATACATAAATAACTTTTAACATATAAGGCAGGGGTGTCCAATGTGGCCCAGAGAAACAAAATTTCTCTGGGCCACATTGGAAGAAGTCAAAAAGTTTCGGGCCACAAGTATATATAATATATACTTGTGGCCCAATATATAAGTATATTTAAAAATTAACATGTCTAGATTATAATAATAAGTATTAAAACTTTATCAAGAAAAAAGGATATTTTAAAAAATTACTTCTACAGACACTTTCAATTTTTACTTAGAAATAGATAAATTCATTTATTATAAAAGAGACTAAAGAAAATTTATTTGAAAAACACAAATATTTGTTTTATTTGGGTCTCTAATTAATAAAAAGCGACGAAACACCATTTTAAAGTGCATTTTTATTCAATTAATATAATTATAAATAATATGTAGCCGAAAAAGTAGCCAAAGCGCCAAATGATATTTTTTACGTCAAGCAAAAAAAAAGTAGCCACATTTGGCGCAATGTAGCCAAATCTTGCAATGTTGGAAGAAATACTAAATAAAGCTGCAGTTGTGAATCAAAGGATTACAGACCCAAGTGCGGAGAAAAAGAGGCAAAGAACAAAAGATAAAGAAGTGAAAAAGGTTGAAAAATTACGGGTCCATATTTGCTTAACAGAAGATCTATTTAACGTTTCTCACTACTACATCTTTTGTCCTTTCTCATCTTTCCCTCCTTTTCCGAAATTTGGGTCTATAATCTTTTGAGTCACAACTCCAGCTTTATTTAGTAATCCTTCGGCATTCACACATCTCCAAGTATTTGAAAATATTTTCTTTCCACTCAAAAATAAAATATGAATAAAGGTTTACGGCTTTGTGAAACTTCTTTTTTGAGTTTATGCCATTGAAATAAATAAATAATAATAAATTAAAACATTTGTCGGTTTTATTTACACGTTTTTTGGGCCGCATTGGGAGTTGCTTTGGGCCGCATGCGGCCCGCGGGCCGCGGGTTGGACACCCCTGATATAAGGTTTGTTTGTTACAACAGAAATGGCCATTTAAATGCATCTATAGTGATTTTAAATTCAAATTCCATAAAAATCAGCCACCTTCTCATTTAAATGACATCTTATGTTTATTGGTTGTTGCTTAATTTATACTTTAAAATTTATATTCCAATTTTTATCTGTCTATTTATATTAATATTAATTTTGTTTTGTCTAGAATATACTTTTTATTTTAACCAATTATATATGAATAGCTAAAGTATTGTTGTAAGATCAGTATTGTTGTAAGATCAGTATTTTTAAATTATATTTTAAATAGTTTTAAGTTTTTTTTTAGTCCTTGTTTAAGCTCATTTTGTTGCTTAATTTATGGACATGTTACACACCTATGATTGAGTCAGAAGACCTTTATAATGTAGACATATTAATTATCTTTATTGATGCAAATGGAGCATATAAATTTAATTGTAGTGTCATATGTGTGGTATGCATTTCAAGGAAGATTAAATTTCACTCCCCTGTTCAGCTAATAATGACAGATATAAAATACTAAGGTATGTTAATGTGATAGTTTGTTATGTGATATGATGTTGCCCACAAAGAAAACGTACAAACAAAAGGAAAGGCACATGACAACTTCTAAGGTTACACAATCCTTTCTTTATTCACGACGACTTCTAAGGCACACGATAACTTCTAAAGTTACACAATCCTTTCTTTATTCATGACAAATGGGTTAGGTTCTAAAGAATTTCAACTGTTCTTGTAAAACTTTACAAAATTCGAGGTGCGTCACATCAGGATTTTTTTCTTTGTTGGGTTTTCATACAATTTAGGAATATAACTTTCTCATAGAATGTAACAATTTTCTTAGCCTAACTGAATACGTAAAATCTTACTTAACCCTTCGGTCTCCAGTTCAAAAACTGACCAACTCGTCAATCGTTTTTCACCCAGTCACCCTACTTCCTATTGTTCTCCTCCTGTTTGTGGAATGGCTAATACTACCTAAAGGCAATAACGGTCATCCCAGAAAGTTCCAGGAATGGATAGAAGAAAAAAATAGAGGAAATCACCGAAATAGGATAGAATTATGACTATATAAATATACAAGTTTTGTTATATATATATATATAACATATTTAAAATTTTTGTAAATTTTGTATATATTTTCTGTATTTTACTTTGTTAATCTCGCCCCTTTTGGAATGAGGTTAACAAAACCAATAAAATAAAAAGAGTTCGAGTGAGGACCCGAAAGTGAACGTTCGTGTTATTTTATAGTCTCCAATTTTCTTTGTCTTGTTCAACCTACACTCGACCTTACAACTACGACTGCAAAATAATATGACATATATATATATATAGCCTATAGCCAACAGCCACACTAATACATGTAAAAATTGCAATATAATAATATTTCATAAAACAATAATATATACTTTAACTAGAATACTTCCAATATTTTAAAATCAATCTGACAATACTATAAAGCAATTACAAAAGACTGCCTGCCACTTGGATAATTACATATTCGTACAGTAAGTACAGTACATATGGAATATAGTGATCTCTGAAGTTGACAAAACATTAAAATATCACATGCAAAGTTTAAAAAATTATTAAAAGTTTATAATATTAAAACTTTGGATTTTGTATTTTTATTAATAATAATTTTCATTCATTTTAAGGCCTTTGTTATCATTAAGGACATTCACAAAATGCTTTTAGTGTATTAAAAAAATGCTTTTGTAACATCCAAATTATGCTTTAATATGCTTTTTCCTAGCAAGAATAAACAATTTTCTAAATACTTGGAAAATGATACTTTTTTAATCAAGCATTAATTGAAAGGTATAGTGAAGCAGTAGAATTAAAAGTAATTTTAACTGCTTCATGGAGAAAAGTATTTTTTAGTCATGCTGTCTTTTGTTTCATATACTTTGCTGAAGAGAGATGTTGAACAGCAGATTTTTTCTCATAAGATATCATTTGAAGACAATAGTCACTATAAACATCCTGACTCTACAGTAAGGAAATTTATGCAACTGCATTTTTGCATAAATACTTATGTTCAGTATCACATTTGTCTGATTTCCAATCTCTAACCAGTTGTAAGTACTATAAATCACAAAAACTAAATCTATCAGTGACTCCATCTGCTTACAGTTTAATCTTGTTGTTAACCATTTATTAAATTCTCTTTTTTTATCTTGTAAAGTGTATGTAAAATATGTAGTATAATTATTCATTTTTTATGATAAATGATTTTTTTCTGTTGTTTATTGTAAATGTAAGATAAATTATATTAATTTTAATACATAAATGAAAAAAGTAAGATAATTAGCAACTATGTCAATAAGCAGCACCACATTTGTTTGACTTTCACACTGGATTCATATACGAATGCTAGAATGCCATTTGACTGCTAAATATGCTGTTGAATGCTTTAAATGCTTTATTGCTTTTTAATGCTCTCATATTATCCAAATTCTTTTTAATGCCTGGTCCAACTACTGAAATGCCTTCTAAAGGTATCTAGATATCAGAAAATAAATGTTTCATTAGACCTTTCACAGGTAATAAAAGCATTTTTAACCAAAAATGTTTTTATTGTTTATAATACTTTTTATTGTCCTTAATTTAATTATCATTAATCCTTTTTTCTTCAGGAATTTTAATTATTTTGAGATATGCATATAATTTCCTTTTTAATGTTTCTGGAACTGTTTTTATTATTCTCAATGACTCCCTGTTAATGTGACTATTAGATTGAAAGCAATGTTTAGCCATTACTGATGATTGAAAATTATTTTTAATTTTGTAAGTATACTCATTAAATCTAACTTTTAACTTTCTTTTGGTTTCTCCTACATAATTTTTTATACATGAACAATCAAATTTATGTATTACATTATCTTNATATTTGATTTAGTGAGAAAATAATTGTTCAACATACAAAAATTTAGTCCACTTTACTTTTAAATATTATTGATAAAAAAGAATTCTAAGTTTATAACTTTATACATTTTAAAATTATAGTTTTTATGCCAAGTTAGCTGTGAGATTCGTCTCCTAACGTGTCCTGTTTACACTCCTCCTGGGTGCCTCTTCGTGTTTCTACATCCTGCTTAAATAATTTAGGATCCAAAGGTCTTCAGCCGGTCCTCAATTCATTTTAACATAAGCTGTTTTAATTTATATACATTACACGTTAAAATATTTGTTTAGATTTCTATATTAAAAAAAAAAAATGAAATTTCTCTTTTAATTCTTTAAAACAATCCACTCTGGAAAACTAGTTTATAAGTCTTATTCAGACTATAAGTAATTTGATTTGATGTTGGTGTTTTTACTTTCTATTTCATTTAACAATTTTTTAAAATTTTTTTCTAATGGAAAACATTTCATAAGTAAGTATTAATTATATCAGATATTTATTTTCTTTGATCTTTTTGATATGTTCTATATATTTCTAGAAGTCAAATTGTTCTCTGTTCATGTAATCATTAAGTTTCTACAGAAGCTTTTTATCTATTATGTATGAAATTCCAAGGGTGATCACATCAGATAACAGTATATCATTGACATCTCCGTTAATTCTAACAGTTTCATGAATTCACAACAGCACTTTTTCACCCTTCTAATGGTTTAGCTGAGAGGAAGGTGAAATTTGTCAAGCACAGTCTTAAAAGATAAAGGGAGGAGACATGAATTTCAATCTTATAAAATTCCTGATTATTCAGTATATAATCCCTTTGCTGTTAACAGAGACAAACCCTGCAAAAATGCTAATGCAGCAAAAGAGAACAAGTCTGGACAATTCTCATTCTGATTCACTTCTTGACAGTAATCAAGCACTACAAATACTGACTCATTCAAAAGAATCTTTCAAGAAGGTGATCCAATCTGTGTGAACGTATTCTGCTAAATTGTAGATTCCGGCTGACATTAAAGAAGTTAGAAGGAGTGCTACTTATTCATGATGAAAACATGGTCAAATTCCTTGTAGATCAAGTAAGACAATGCCAGATGTGCATGTGGATTGCATCAGATGGACAAAGTGGAGACAAAGCAGCATTTCAACCTATACAGACATGTGACTATACAATTCTATTGGTTCTTGACTAATGGAAGAATTGTGTAGTATTGTGTAGTCACACGTTTTGGGTTGTGATCAATTATCAAGTTTTTAATCACAAACCAAGCTTTCCATTAGACTGTTGCAACAAGCCAACAGTACATAGCAGAATATGACTGTTGACACTATAAATGTTATAATGGCAAAGAAACATTGTTAATAGATGCAAGTGAAACAGAATGCTGTGGACTACATTCCAACATTTAATATTACAAATATAAATAATTTTACTGAAAAATCTTTGATTAGATAACAGCAAATTAAACTAATATCTTAAAAGTTTAGAACACTTAGCACCATACTGATAAATAAATAATCAAATCACTGTTTAATACATAAACATATAGAACATGTTGACCAGAATTCTTGTCATTCTAATCTATAAAGTAAGCTGTTCTAAATTGAAGATGTCAGATATTCAATTAAAAGCGTTGATATCTAATTAAGCATTGGTTTGATTTATTTCTTAAATTTTAATTTATTTAATATTATACACATTTGGACTATAGGCAGATAAGTTGCTAACTGTTAATAGATTTTATAATATATAAAAAATTAATTAAATTAACTTTTACTAATCTGAAAAAAATTGATAATAAATGGAGCTTGATCCACAGTTTTGTGGTCTTGTGTGGTTTTGTGGTACAAAAATTACAAAGATTTGTAATTTTTGTAAAATTCCACAAATCTCAGAACCATCAGCCTTACTATTTTACAAAGATTTGTAATCTTTGTAAAATAGTAAGGCTGATGGTTCTGAGATTTGTGGAATTTTTTCCTTTTGTGGAATTTGTGGAATTTCATCAGCCTTACTATTTTACAAAGATTACAAATCTTTGTAAAATAGTAAGGCTGATGATGGTTTTAGCACACAGCATTGCAGGACCTTCTCTGCATTGCTGTGTGACAAAGGAAATAGATATTCAGTATGGTAAGAAAAAGACAGAAATAGGAAATAAATAACCAGAAAAATTATTGTCATTAATAATTGTAGCGAAAGTCAATAAACTGACTGATAACAACTGTCATAAGTACATTTTACTATAACAAAATAAATTATTAACAAAGCAAAACATCATACAAAGGCATATAACAGGAGGCATTCATCATGCAAATCAAGATTTGTGACAAATCAAGATGGCACACATCATAAATCTAGGTGTAGATTTATGATATATCCTGTAAAATATTTGACTTTTTTTAAATTGTGATGTTAAAAAGTATAAAGCTATTGCCATACTCTTGACAGTGTTTATGGCAATAGCTTTATAAAAATGTCATATGCAGAGATAATATAAATTTTGTTTATTAAAGATATTTAATATAAGCATTATTCAATATCAATAAAGAATTTTTTGTTTTTTATACTGTCAGTGTTTTTATTGAAAATCAATGTTTTTCTATCAACATCCCTGCTATTCTAAAGGTTGGCAAGTATGTTATATATTTACTGTATATAGTAATTCGAGATTAATAATTAGTGTTTTTTATTTTACTAATACAGTGGTACCTCGGTATACGTCTGCTTTAGAATATGTCCAATTCAGAATACGTCCTGTTTGGACGAAACAAATTTTGCTCGGTATACGACTTTTGTTCGATATACGACTTAATTCAATTATGCGCGCCATCTATGAACAACTAGCACTATTGGTGTACTAGACCAGACTAGACGTTCGTGGTCCACTGTTTATAACTTTGTTAAATTTCTTCTGATTTTAATTTGTAAGTAAAATTTTATTATTTTTATTAATCATGAATTGCAAAAACGCAAGTGAAAAGCAACAGAAAACTAAAAAAAAAATGACTAGAATCACAATGGAACTGAAAAAAAAGATTGTTGAGGAATATGAAGGTGTTATTGTGTGTGGTCGAGATTTATCTGTTGCATACCGTATTCCGAGAACGACGATATCGACAATCATGAAAAATAAAGACATTATTAAATCTGGTTACGTTACGAAAGGAATTAAATCAATTTCTAAACAGAGATCAAAGACATTAGATCATGTCGAGAAATTGCTTTTGCTTTGGATAACTGAAAAACAGTGTGCTGGCGACATCGTACCAGAAACAATTATTTGCAAGAAAGCTAAAAAGATACATGCTGATCTCATGAAAAATCAAGCATGAACTAGCCAAGAAAGCGAGGTGTTTAAAGCCAACCATTTTTTTTCATGAGAACAGATTAATCATTTTTACATTACTTCTTATAGGAAAGGTTGGGTTGGTATACGTCCTATTCGGTATAAGTCCAAACATTAGGAACGGATTGAGGTCGTATACTGAGGTTCCACTGTATTTGTTTATTAAATTTATGAACATCTGAAAAACAAAATGAAAAAAAAAAATTAAATAAACTGTTTAAAATTTAAAATCATTAATAATGATGATAATTTTAAAAGACAGAAACATATTTCTTGACTCCAAATTTACAAATTATTAAATAATTTAATTAGTATCAATACTGTATGTGAGATAAGCTGGAGGTACAAACTGGAGTAATGCTTAATCAGCACAAAATCGCAAGATTCGATCTCTAAATTTACAAGGAGGGCTTTAAAGAAAATAAGGATATAGACTGTGAAGTCCAAATCCACGTCAGGATGTTAACACCAGATAGTCAATTACACGGGCTATCACGAAATGCTTCTACTCATTTAAAATAGGAACTGCATTTTAATTTGTGAAAAAGAATCTTTTTGATTCAGTCAAGAATGAAGCCATGTTTTTAAAATAACAATGAATATTTAATAAATCAAGTAGAATAAAAATAGAGATTACAAGTAAGATAAACTACTAAATTCGCTGAGAGAGAGAGATTACACTTCTGTTCAAAATCATACTACCTCACTAATTTTTGAGTTCTTCTGTCCTCATTAATTTCAATAAAAAGTTCTTTTGATTTCTCTTGTTCTCGTCAGGTTTTTCTTTCTCTTCTTATGTTATTTGAAGGAGGCACTTTGATAAATGGTCTTTTCATCAGGAATCAGTGAATTAGAACTTTATGAGTCTTGGGCGTTGGTTTTAGGGAGTGGACATGGAATACGTCTTTCCTCTCATAGAAGTTGTGTCGTACTCCTCGAACAATACCAAAGAATCCTCTTTTTCGAGGTTTTCCTCCAATGGTAATATTGTATTCTTCCCACGTGAGCAGGATGAGTGGGGATTTAGAGAGGAGTGACTGTTAGTTGTGTGACTCAAAATTTGGAAGATAAGGGAAAAACGAAAGTTTGTTTTAAAATCCTTTGTTTGTTTTTCCTTTTCAATGGAACTTCCGTTGAAAGGGAAGTAAGTTTTACCAGTTTCCTTCGTTTTTAAAATTAAACTTTTTCCATTACAATCAGAAATATTATTTCTAAAAATTATTGATTTGATATGTTTTCAATTAATAAAGGGGGGTATTCAAAATCTCACACACAGAATGTTGTATGAGGCATAAAAAATAACAAGAATAACTTCCACTATGTTAAGAATATAAACAAGTATCATTAATAATTTTAAAATTTACCTCTACAGCTTTAATTTTGGTATTTTCAAGTGTTTCAATAAGATCTTCATTATCCAACACATTGCCTGTCAATGTAGCTAATTCTCTTAATAATGAATCTTCTAATTCTTTCAAATTTCTTTTATTAATATTTGTATCATCAATTAATCGTTCTCTTCGTTCTTCTAATTCTTTTTTCTCTATACCAATGATAATACTTAAGAGCTGATTTTCTAATCCCTAAAGGTAAAATTAAAATCATTTAAAAAAATAACAACGACTACAACCTTTACTTTATCTAGCAATAGAATTTTTAACAAAAAGCATTTTTGAATCACTTAACAATTCATCTTTAGATTCAAAATGTATGGAGTAGACATCACATGCAGACATTCCAATAAATTTAAAAATAAGTGCTAACATTCAATTAACCAAAAATTCTTAAAAACAATAAATATAACTAATAGATAATAAATTAAAAATAAATATGAAATAATATACATAAGAATGAAGTATAACAATAACAGCCAAAACTATTAGTGTTTTAACAAGAATTTCCATGCATTCCATGCTGCATCTTATCATTAAAATACTAATGTTGTTATCCTCCTCCGACCTCTCACCCATTAAAATGGATGTTTGTTTTTATTTGTTTAATATTTTTCTGTTCATTTTATCGAGTTCAAACCAGGAATCCTTTATAGTGGAGTTTTCACTTTTCATCGTCAGGCATATGGCAACATTGTTCACTATTTAAAAAACACTAAGGGTCAAAGGTTGATGTTGAATTCATAAATGGCCTTTTTATAATACAAATATTGTAATTTTAAAATAAATTGATTAAAAAATACATTTTTTTAATTCTCGGGTCTGAGGAGGATAATTATATTTCATTCTATGTCTATTATTTTGTATTTACTTTATTTAGATTTAATTTATTTTGTTGTACTGTATCATTTATTAAAATCATCTTAAATAATTTTCCTGACTTCATTACAAAAATTGAAATTTAACTTCATTATAAAATATAAAAAATACCATATTTATTAGAATACAAGGCACACATTTTTACCAGTTTTGGCACTAAAAATGCCATGCATCTTACATTCAGAGAATGCTTTCAACAATCTATTTTTAAAGTTGTTGCATTATTGGGCTGAAATTTGGAAAAACTGTAGACTTATAAATTCCCACTGTTGTCCTTCCTTAATCTTGAGAACAGAGTTAGCTAGATGAAAGATAAGACCAGATATGGAAAGCTTAGGGGCAGGAAGTCCTGATTAACTATATACGAACTAATGATGCAAACCAGAAGTCACATTATTTCAATTCAAATATTTGACCCTGAAAGGTGTTAGATAGATGACCAGCACAACTCAATTGCTAAAGGAAAATTATAATGTACAGGGACAAGACACTACTAATTTGAAGTTGGAGAGCATATATTTTAAATTAAATAAATTAAAAAATATGATTAAAAATTGTAGCCCTGCATTGTGACAATGTCACAATAAAATAATTGCTCATTTATAAGTAATTTTGCCCTCTGTTAGTTCAAATATTCTACTTGCACAAAGAAACACTAGGTGGCAAAGCCTTTGACTTTGGCATTTACAATATAACATGGATCATAGAAGATATTGGAAGTTTGTTTCACATAAGCAAATCAGATTTTTGTCTGGTGTTCAGAAGAGTTATGATATAAAATTTAAACTTTTTGTCATGAAATATGTGCTGTTTTTAAATTTTTTGTTATAAAAATAGGACTAAAAAAGAGATATACTTTATATTCAAGGAAATATTTTTTCCTAAAAATGGGTTCCAAAAATGTTGTTTCCTTTGTTTGGTGTCTCTTTGTTCATATGAGGATTAACTATTTACTAATTACAGTATGTTTTTTGCTTGGATTGTGAGATAAAGTAAGAGAACAAACAAAAAGTGGTCCAGACAGGGTAGAAAAGGAGTGGATAGAAGAGTGTTTTCCTGAAAAAAATAGTGTCACGTGACTGGAGATAATTTGTATTTTGTATTAAAAATGAACTAAGAGTAGGAAGAGGACATAGTCCAAATTTATCTGGCCTAATGTTTTCCTATTTTATGAAAAAAGATGCAAAAATGAATATAAATCCTAAACCCAACATACCTAGATAGATGATGGAATTTTGTATATCAAGTGAAAGGAGCTCATGAGGCCAACTGATGTGTAGGTCATCAATTGACTTTTTGTACAAAATGTAAGGACAAAAATCACAAAAGTACTTTTTTGTATTGAAAGATTAATAACCAATCACCCTCTTCTAGGTCTGTTTTTCATTTAGTCACACAAACTTTCTTCCTTCATTTCTTTTGCAATATTTTATGGTGTTGCACATTATACATTATATTAGTATTTTTAGTTGAGAATTATATCAGTTACTCATACCATATTTTCATGGAATGACCAGCATGCTGCATAAAAACAGGGGAGACCAGCATGCTGATTAAACTGTGACTAAAATATAAAATTAATCACATGTAACAAAACTAGTTGTTAATTAAATGTTAAAGAAAACATTCTTCCAAGTACAATAAAATAATAACATCGTGATTTGACTGACTTAAAATCAGGAAGAGCACTTTCATTTACAAGACAATAAAACAATTAATGACTTATTGACTGACATTAGTAGTAGTATTAGTAGTAGTAGTAATTAATCAGTGTGGGTTACTCTGACCATCTACCCTGACCTTAAAAATAATACCTTCCTCTCAAATTTCATACAATGCTGATGTTAATTGGTAAAATCTGAGATAATTTACAATGAATTTCTTAAATATAATAGGTTTATTTTTGCATTTTTTAATAAAATACATATAAAAAAGGATGTATAACCTCACTTAAACTGGCATGCTGGCTTTTACCTTACAGAAATATCTGATTTCACGGTCTACTCAGATAGACCAGTATGCCAGTCATTTCGTGAGTGTGGTACATTTTAAAATTTATATTTAAGAAAAACTGAATTTATAGATGTCTAGCTAATTGTGTTTGGAAAGGTGTTGTCAATTTGTTATAATAATTTTTTAGTAAGAACTGTTTTAATATATTGACACACATGCACTTGATTTTATGCTTGTGTAATGATATTTGTTTATTCTGTCAAATAAAGTTATTGTGTTTTATTATATATATATAGTTATTGATTATGATGATACCTCACACACTAGATACTCAAAACTAGACTAACATTTAAAGTACATACAATTATTTCTAGTCATCAGAATGAAATTTCTAGCAATGGAAGGAGCAATGAGTTTAAAGCTTCTATGAATGACAATTATTGATTGTATCTTGTCATTTCAGAGAACTTTAACAGTTATCATTATGTAGATAGAGGATAATTATTGGAATTATTATCATCTTACAAGATATAAATTCTTCAAGTGGTCATGTCTTATAATATCAATTTAGCATAGACTAAATGAATAACATGTACAGAAAATGAATAAGAATGAACTAAAGATAAAGTATGCATATATATTGCATTTTGTGGTTTCAGGAAAACTCTTGATGACAAATGAATATTTCTGCTATTTCTGCAGTGCAAAAAAGGATTTTTTAAGTCTTTCTAAAGACACTTTGTGACTTAGACAAAAGAAAACTGTGACAAATTTGTAATTATAATTTAAAATTAGCATAAAGCCCATTGCATTGCATAACTCACACATGCTTTTAAATTGCCTTTTAAACACAGATAACCACATAACACAGACAACAGTATTTTAGAATTATATACATGCATACCGTGGTTTAAAAGTAAATATTTTTCGAACATAAAATTAGAAATAGTATTTAGTAATAGTATTTAATAGTACTTATTTCATTAATAAACTATTACAAAATAAAAACTCACTTTTGTTGTAAGAGTAAAATTTATTATAGTTGCTTTTGTAAATATAGCAGAAAAATATGCTGGATTTGAAATTTTTGTTGTAATATACATATGAAAATTTGAATCATAATCTAATTCTCTATCTTCAAAGATAAAAAAATATTTTCCATCTTTATCTAAAAACAAACATAAAAGTTAAAATTTAGCATAAAATAATGTAGATTGCAAGCTTAGAATTTAATAGTATATATAACCATCACTAATTTTGGTATAATTTCAAATTTTTCAGGTTGCTACTACTATTCAGTGGCAATATTTTAGTATTAACAATGACTATTAGTATATGTTGTAAATGATAAATATCAACTCTTTACTCCTTTCATCATAATTTCCCCAGCTGTCAGGAGTTGCACTACAGTGTTAATTAAACAAGTAGAGTACAGTCGACTCCCCTATAACACTGTTGATAAATCTGTTTTATATGAATTCCATGTTGTACGAGTCACTTAGATTTTACAAATACGTGAGCCATTCACAGTCCGGCACACATTTGTAAAATCTAAGTGACTCGTACAACATGGAATTCATATAAAACGGAATTATCAGCAGTGTTATAGGGGGGTCGACTGTATTGGCTTCAATATATCAACATTTTAAAGTTTAAAATATATCAATATCTCTGTTGTAAAAATTTATCTTTTTGATATATCAATTATTGGCACAGCCCTACTAAGCATTTTCGTACTCTAGCATTTTTTCCCCCTCAATTTAAGGAAGGAGGTTAAGGAAATAACCTGTATCTAAGGTTATTTTATTGATGACAAATGAATATTTCTGCTATTTCTGCAGTACAAAAAAGGATTTTTTAAGTCTTATCATTAAAAAATCCTTTTTTTAATGATAAGACTTAAAACTTAAAATGACAAAAAAATCATTTTTTTAAGTTTATTAATTGTCGGGTATCAATTTGTACTGTAATCCACTAGTAACAATGGACATCGGGTTACGCTAGGAACGATAAGTTGTATTAATGGAAACCAACATGCGATGATCATCACTGTAAATATTCTTTTTTTAGACTAAGTATCACTGTAATTCCTAGTAATAAGTATATTAGAGTTATGGGGTGTTAAGAACCTAGTGCATGTTACTCTAATGCTAACTTAAGGAAGATTAGATCTGTGTGCTATACATTAACTTCTGTATCATAAAGTGGTTATTTTGAATTGCCTATTGTATGATTTTTTTTTTCTTTTGTGCAGCCCTTAGTATCCTTATCCAACACTAAGTCTGAATCTCAGTGATCCACAGACACTACAAAACATTTACAAAAGATACCATGTATGATACATCCTTATTAAAGTTACATTAAATATAATGGTGACACAAAAACTTTCAACTAATATATTAATTTATTTTTAATTCATATTAATTGATACTCAAATTATTAAGTGTTTGTCGTTTCAAAATCCAAAATATTCATTCAAAACAATTCATAATTATTTTTATATATCTGTATAATAAATATTTAATTGAATTTTACATTAACAATTACTAATTTATATAATTAATTTATAATTACATTTTATATTTGTTTCTAATAAACTGAATAAAATGGAATCAGTATACTCATCCACATTATGAAATAATGTAGGATGTCCATGATGAAGTGCTAATTTTAATTGTTGAAAACAGTTTGAATCTTTGAGGGATAAGATCTAAAAATAAAAATTATATACCAAATAAATTAAATATTCAATATTAATATCTTAATTACAAAATATCTTTCAAATATTTTTTTATATTATTTTAAAAAATGTAATGTAAATTTTAACAAAACAAAATAACTATTGATTTATAATTAGGAAGAAAATAATAATTTAATGTTTTTATCTTAATATTAAAAAGATGGTGATGAAAAATCATTACATAAAAATTTTTAATAACTTCTGAAGAATAATTAGAAAGTAATTCATAAATTTTACTTACTTTTAAATTATTGTTTTCTTCCTTCTTTTTTATCCAATTCAAGGCTTGCAGTTGTGGATCAATACAAACAGGAATATGAAGAGCTGATGTAGTCAGAATGCCATTCTGTATAGAAAATTCATCAGGTGGAAGGCCTTCAGATATCCATCTATACAATATTTAAACAATATATAATGCAATAAACATTTATTAATATCACTATTTCTTATATTTGTAAAATTATTCTACAATCTGAAATTCAAAATTTTTCAAATTCTTGTCATGATAATTTTTAAAAATCAATATTTAAGCATATTGCATTCAGTAGATATATTGGATTTAAGTTATTAAAAATATTAATTGCAAATCAAATATTGTCAAAATATGATAATACATGCCATACTTTAAGAATTAAAAGTAGAATATTTTAGAATATTTATTTCATATTAATTCTTCAGTGGATGTGGCATCACAAACAGGTTGTGTGTTGTAAATCCTGCTACTAGTCAAACAATTATTATTTCAACCTTTTTTGTTAGCACACCAATGGACAGGGAAAGTTAACATGCTTATGTTTTTGAAGGCATGAGGTTGGACAGAGTGGTGTATAACCACTAGTTTAGCTTTGAAATCCCCAGCACTATTACCACAGAATAGTAGAGACATTTGAAGCCTGGCATCTTGGCCTCCTCTTTAGCTACATAAGATGTGTCAGGCATATGTTTCCAATAAAGGACTGCCTCATCTACATTAAAAATTTGGCATAGTAAATATCCATCTTTATGCTCCAATTTATGAAATTCTTCAGGGTAAAGATGAGCAGCCTCGGTATCTGCTGTAACTGCTTCACCTGAAACAATTTTGCTTCCTAAATTATACTTTGCAATAAATTTCTGAACCCAACCATGGCTACTTTGAAAAACATATTTGTCCTTATCATCAACATCACTGTATTCAACTAAGCTCTTATATATTGCCTTAGCATGATTTTGGAGACATTTTGTTGACACAGGAAGCTTCTTTTTGTAAGTCCACAAATACATTCCCTTTTCCATGGGTTGAATGAGCTCATCTTTATGTAACCTGATAATATGACTGACTGACTTGGGTGAAGCTTCAGTGAAATCTGTCATCAGTTCTTCATGCACTTTGTAAATAGAATGAATGATTCATTCATTTGTACCATAATCAAGGCCCACAGCATCAAAGCTTCCACCATCATATATTTTCTTTATCATATCTACCTTTTCTTGTAGAGAATACACCCATTTGAAATGTTTGTTAGGATCACCTTCATATTTTTCTTGTTCATTAGTATGATACCAATGTTGAAGGGTCTGAAAATACAGTATGTATCACTATGTGTAAAAAATACCCAAGTCTTGCAGCACAACAATATAAACATAAGTGATAGACAGTGCATTACTGGGAAGCTGAGCATAATGGGTTCTCGCTATGCTGCCATCACTGTTGCTATCACAGCTGTTTGCTGACCCATGATAACACTGATCAGTGATAAACAATGCCATGATAAACAAGGATAGATGTATTAATAAAAGTCTGAATTCACTATCTGACTGAGAGGAACAAATTTCTAATACACAATCCTCTTATGGTAAAAGAATGATCAACATGCTCTTTGTTGCACTCCTTACTTACCTTGTCTTCTTGGACATTATTGTCTCACCAATGATTTAATTGCCATAAGCCTCCCAAAGCATTTCAAATGGCAAAATTCCAAAATTTAATATTTGCTCTTTGCTCAATTTTCAAATTCATTCTCAAATTGCAAGGCAACACTAACACAATATTGTAAAATTGCATGTAGTAAGTGTAAGTGTACCATTTTAAAAAACTCAACACTTGGCAGACTGATGCTCAAATGCTTAAGGCAGTAATCCTTGATAACAAAATGACTATTTTCTTTTTGATTACACCACATATGCTTTTAACTCATTAAATAAAATAATTGAATATTCCATAGATTAAATAATTTCTCAAAATGATGCAACTCAGCAATCAATCAAATAATATATTATATTTTTTTTATAAGAATACAATGAATAAAAATATAGTATTAAATGAAATTATTTGTATTTAATAATGTTACAATAATTGTTAGTTAAAAATTAACAAAGTACCTGCTTATAATAAATTCATCAACAAACAGTTCTTCTATTTTAAAATGTTCTTTAAGTTTTATGTTACTTATCAATATATTATTTTTCCAATCTTCATAGATCATAATGTGACGAAATTCCAAAGTAAAGGGACCAGAATAAATTAAAAATGCTGAGCCTAGTATACATTCACCTATCAAAAATTCATTTTTCATTTCTAATTCTTCAAGTTCTTTTTTCCATCTACAAAAAAATAAGCAAATTCATATCAAATTTTAATTAATATAATACAATTATTTCAATTATTTATAATTCATTTTATTTAAACAAGATCATCAAAGACATACAGAATGTATCTGACATACAATGCTATATCTTCATGAAATTTAGGTAATATGGCATTCTTGTGCTTTCTGACCACTAGTTCACTCAGAGTACCTGATATTGGGCTACCCATAGATACACCCCTCATTTGGTAAGTGACATCTTCATATTCGAAGAAGGAAGAGTGCACCATCAAAAGACAAACAGAATGTATAAAACATATTCTACTAGAAATAATTAAAAAGACTGAACAATCTAATAGACAACAGAAAAATTTTCCATTGAGTTAAAACAATAAACTCAATACTTGACATACCAGCAATTTTGACACATTCAGTTTCTACTCCTTTGATTAAAGCATTGTTTCCTAATCTGTGTGCCACAACATATAAGGTGAGAAGGATAGTGTGTATAATCTAAAACTAAGAATATTGTTTTCATGAAAAAATATTAAAATATGGTAATGTAAAAATTTTCTGTTTAGTTTGAAGATGCTATTTGAAGATTCCTTTCTTATTCTATATCTCTTCTTTCTTTTTTGTTTCTGGCAGATGTATGAAAGAGGTAGCTCATGGGCTGAGTCTGAAATGGAAGTTCTTATCTGCATATTAAAGGGGAAGAAGCAAAAATCAAGAACAGAAAGAAATATGTGCAGAAAAGTTAAAATTTTATGTATGCCAGCAACAAATTAAACTAGCCTAGAAATCCAATCTCATCAAATGTATATCAATGCAAAGCTTTTCAGAAAAATATGAGCAAAACAGAAAAAGATCTCATCATCCAAATTACATAAGTGCGTCTAATAAAATATAACACAGTATAAGGCTCAAAACTACTTTATTTTCTCAAGGATCTATTTCTGCTATACTTTTTTAAATTTTATCTATCCTATCAATTCATCTTTTTCTTTCTTTAGTTTGTAAGTCAGTTTTAATTGGTTTGTAGTGTAAGGTTGCCGACTTTTAGGGGCAATAAGTTAATTGTGCATCAGGAAAACCTAGGGGTGAATCGTATGTGGGTGGTGGCGGCAGAGGCAAAGATGACAAGTGTCTTACAAAACCATTTATTTTATTCATAAAATTAACTTACATAATAATGACACAGAAAATTCGATCTAGATCGTTTTTCGCTGGGGAGCTCCCAATGTCGGTGGACAGGTGAAGGCTGGCTGATGTCTGAAGTTGCATCTCCCGGGTCTTTGATAAGAGGAGTGTCCATTGCACTGGAGGTGACTCTAATGGGTGATGCTGCAGATGGACGGATATCTTGGGTCACTGGTGGAAATACTTGTCTGGAGGAGAACCGCTCTTGACCTTGAGACTCTGGGGTTTTATAGTATTTTCCCTTGAATCTCACCCTTTTGATTTGCCCTCTCCCCTACCCTGATTGATCACTCTTTTGTCTCTAGGCGAAACCCATGACCAATCAGGGTGGGAAAGATCCGAGAGGTGTCGATGGAGCTTTTGAAATCTGCGCTCATATTTTACTCCGTTATGGCCCTTGGCCCTGACGTTTTTGAACCTAAAATGATCTACCAGATGTTCTTGCAACCATTTACCCCCCTGACAGATTTGGGCTTACACGACTTCACACATGTCCTTTTGGTCATTAACCCCCCCTTTTTCTCGATTGTTCAGACCTGACACTTGTTTGCAGGCATCTTGACAAAGCTCTCTCTCTCTGTTGGCACTCCCCTCTGTCATTTATCATCATGTCGCATTTGTTTTACAATAAGTAAGAAAGTTTTCTTCCTGTCTGGGTTTTGTCACCAACATGTGTTCCTGACCCAATTTGACCTCTAAAACTCTGCCATTTATGAATTTTATAATTAGTCATACTTTTGATTCAATTTTTGGAAGACTTCACAGGGCTCCCTGCCCTTTTAAAATGGTGCTCCAAAGTTAGCAACATTTTACCTAACAGCTCAGATCAAACTAACAGCTCAGGCTGTTAGTTTGACCTTCGCCTTTGCGGAATCCTCATTTTCCGTCTCACTGACGGGACCACGTTTGTTTTTCCAATTAACTTCTCTGTTCCCATTCGCGACAGATCAGCTTTCATATTGACTGTTAAACAGACCAATTAATATAAAAGAAAAGGTTTAATGATGGATATATATATATCCATCATTAAACCTTATCCATATTTATATATACAGTAAAACCTCGATTATCCAGACCTCCATTATCCGGATTTTCGATTATCCGGATTGTTCAAAATAACAAAAATTTTACGAATTTGCTGATTTGTACTTGGCAATTACGACACTGTTTATGTACGTGATGGAATGCATAACTTTTTTTGTTTCAACAATGTCTCACCCAGCACAGTGGTCGTAAACTCTTAAATATATTTTACATAGTAATAAAAATATAACTTGACATACGTATTTATAAATAATTTATATGACCAAGGGTGGCGTAAGGCATGGATGATGTGGGCCACCGCCTATGCCTTGCGGTCCGAATGGTCTCGCGCCTCAAAGGTTTATGCATTACTTAAAAGCCGCGAATGCAACGAAAAAATTTTACTCGTCATAAAACGATAAATAGTTTGTCAAATTTTTATTCATAAAAATGCAGTTTCAACTGCTTTTTATTTTATAAAATCCATCTTCTTGTGCCACCAGAGGGCCTTTTAAACAATAGGTAGTCTGTTAGCGTTGGTCAGTAGTAGTCCAAATTCAATACAAATGTTTGTTTCTTGAAAATTTGATCACAATTTAAATACAGTATTTACTTTTAATATTATCGATATGTCATTGAAAAGAAAACGTGTTGTATTATCATTAAAAGACAAATTAAAGTATTTGTTTCGATTATCCGGATTTTTCCTTATCCAGACTACCTTCATCCCCAATTAGTCCGGATAATCGAGGTTCTACTGTATATATATATATATAAATACAGATAACAATATAACTTGAATACAAAAAGTACAATAAATTTGAATACAATATATGAAAAAAATTGGATGAGAAATACAAAATGCATATATAAAGTTTTCTTTTCCCTAGTGTTGAGGGTGCCAGCTCCTTGCCCTCCTCGCTACTTTGAACATTTTTTCCTGCTCCTGCAGGATTCTTTGCATTTGCTCCAACATTGCCTGGCCTCGCCCCATACCTCATCGGGGTTGCAGGGAGAAGGCTTCACTGGTCCCTGGTCTTGGAGGTTGAAGTCCCTCCGTTCCTCCACACTCCTGTCTGGGTTGAAGTGGCGTTCCTCCCTCTTGGAGGTAGTTGGCCCTCTCCACTGAGGAAGCCATTGCCTCTTCAACCTTTCCCCATAAGTGCAGGTCTACTCTCCTGGTGGGGAAGATATCTCTGGATACTCCAGTCTGGGGTTTCTAGCAATCCGCCAAAGGCTTGCACAATGATGGGGTCTATCTCAAATTTTTGATCTTCCAGCCACCAGGGAAGCTCTGTCACCCCATCAAGGTCGCCTTCATCTGACCTCCAGGTTGTCTCCACCATGGTCTTGTCTGTCAAATATAAAGGAAAAAAGGGGTTAAATGATTAGAAGCACGATATCATTAAATGCCAAGTTCTACCCTCTTTTTCTTTGGAAGAGCAAGTTTCCATTCACTATGCCTCCCGAATATATATGTGGAGTTGAGTTTTGAGGAGGGGAACCTCGTTTATTGCCAAATTGGGGCTTTCAGACTTCCATGTCCAGTTTGGGCTCCTCAGCAGCCTCTCAGTTTCTCGTGAGGAAAACGATTGCTACTATGGTTAAAACAAGATTTTCAAGCATTTGCTCTAATATTTTTATATTTAAAGTCATACAATCTCTCATTCGAATAATAAATTTTAAATCACTGGTTACGCTTTGGGGAATGGATTCCCACTGTATTATTTTGCCTCTCTGGTGAACTTCAAGCGACCTGATTCTCTATGGCTTCCCACATTTTGAACAATGATATAAAGAGGAGAATTTTCTAGTTACAATTTTTGTGATAACTCAGGATGTATTTTCTTCATAATTTGAAGTTTAGACTATTTACAAAAAGTCAAAAATAACTTTTGAGTCCATCTTTATACCTTATACACTACCACAGAAGTAACAGTCTTAAAAAAAAAATTGCTTTGAAGAACTCTTCTTAAACACAGGTAAAGAGGGATTACACTGTGGTAAAAGGGATACACTGTGGTAGTGTATAAGGGATAAAGATGGACTCAAAAGTTATTTTTGACTTTTTGTAAATAGTCTAAACTTCAAATTATGAGGAGAATTTTCGTTGATAGTTTCTGTCTTAATAATCTGAATAATGAAATCTCTTTGGTAGCAGTGGAGACAATATATCCACGTGAAAGGTTGGGCCACATCTAATCCTATGATGGACATCCGGACAGTGTCATGATTCAAGTGATGGATGTATGAATGGTTTTTGGTCAAATGCAGAATCACTTGTTGATACACACCCTCCCATGTGCAGATCTCATCCAAGGAAGGGCAAGAGCATGTTCAAAAGGAGCAATACCGTTCATGAGCCTTTCTGTCTTTAAGAAGTCGCTTCTCTGGACATCCGTTGTCTCTATAGGCACATGGCAAAGCTACAATTTCAGCTAGTTTCTCTAAAGTTAGGTTTTGATAATTTCTTAGTTCTCCCAGGCAGACAGGGCATTGCCAGACTTGCATCTTACAGCGGGAACAGACCGCAAGCCCCGCTGGACATTGGAAGGTAGGGAGTGTCATGTAGTCATAACAGACCGGGCACTCAAACAAGGCCATCAAGGCGAGATCTGGAAGGGATTCTCCAGTCGGAGCCTATTCTGGTGTTGTCTCGGTTTGGTCTTCTTCCATATTTTCGTCTCTATACAAAAGGAAAAGAAAGTTTGGTCAAGTCTCGGTTCTCTAACTAAAGGATTAGTATAAAATGCTACTGCTTTAGGAGATCTAATTTCCTTGCGCCATTTTATAATCGGCTCATTTGTGTGGGAATCGTTTCAAATCTGACGGGAAGTGTTACAGCTTCTCCCTGTTTAGGTATGGTTAAATGCTTTCACTTGTCCTCTCTTTCCTCAGGAATGTTGGGAAGTGGTCTAGCTTCCCTTTCACATTATCGGTATCATTTTGGTCATCTCCGCTACGTCGGGTTCCATTCGCTCTACCCATTGGAAAGAGGGATAAGGACTCGTTGATCTTCATCTTCCCAGGCAGTGTAGCTGCCTGCAGCATCTCCAAACCATCAGAAGTGTATTATTATAACAACAAGGGCTATAAGGCTTAAATTCCACATAGAGAATGGTTAGTTTAACATGCCTGGCGTCAATGAAGGAATATCCATTTTACTTATTTGATCTCTTGATCTATATCTCGTAACATTCAATTCAAAAATTCCAGTGACCAGTCATATTCTCTGGGCTGGAGGATGCCTGGAGTGATATTTCCTTGGATGTATTCCTGCAAAATTTTCATTTCTGTAAAATTGAGAATGATCGATATTGCAGGTATCATGTAATGATTTCAAAGCGCAATTTTAAAGGAAGTTCACAATTGGAAGTGTGCCGTGAGTCATACACTGGGTACTTGGCCAGCACAAGTCACTGGCAATTTAAAGATTCCTGTGTTGTTTAGCTTAATCATCTTGACCAGTGAACATTGTAGGTCTCTTTCTAGATTGCATTCAATAACCAAATTTAAAGATGATGGAGTGGAATATATCCAAGTTCCTTCCTCGTCGATGCGACAGAACATTGGTTTCGGGTAAACTGACACTCTTCTTTTACAGAGTTTGTTTGCTGTTGGCTCATCTGCCATGAATAAAGGATATTCACACGATTGATATGGAAGTCTCCAAATGATGACCTCCAGCACGCAGATTGTGGTCAGTCCAGACCTACATTTTTGTAAGTCATGGGCTTCCAGTAACATGTAAAGTTGTTGATTCCTTGATAAAGCGATGTATGGATATTTGGTCTGGTAATGAGCAAATGTTTTGGAAATGGGGAAATATGTGGGGAATTCCACCACTTCATACAGGTCAAAATATCCTTCAGGCATAATTAAAAGAAACTTTGCAAAAATTCTCAGTGTTGATGGAAGTGCCACTGCTGTGGTGGTTATCTATTGATAGTACTTAAAGACGTTGTCTTTGTGTAGAGCAGGGGTCGGCAACCTTTTGAGTCAGAAGAGCCAAAAATTACAATTTACAAAATTTCAAAGTTTTTAAAGAGCCACAAAATTTTTACATAACTTTGAGAAGATAATTCGCTTCTAACTCTTTTACTCGAAACAACAAACTATACGTCATAGCCAAAGCACTGGTGAAGACGCCAAATTGTCTTGCGTCGAAAGCGAATTAAACCTCATAGAAACATCCAACGACAGCGTCATTCGAAAGCTTCCGACAGACTGACGACAGTGACAACGCGTGTCACGGGAGAGAGGTGAGGTGAAAAGCGAGTACAAATGGCTGAGAGATAGAATCGATGCCTAATCCTCATTAATCGATTCAGAACGATTTTTAAATGTTTTCGTTTTTGATAAAATAAATAATATTTGCTTATGGAACTAAAGAGCCGCAGCTTCACATCCAAAGAGCCGCTTGTGGCTCGCGAGCCGCAGGTTGCTGACCCCTGGTTTAGAGTCTCGATCAGCAAGATCCCACTAGGTAAGTGTTTGTTTACTTCCATTAGCGTTTCTAACAACTGTGACCTTGGCAGGAAATATGAGTTAAGTCTGTCATTTTCTAGCATCTCAACTGCCTGTCTTAAATTCGTGATGCCAATTCAGAATTCCATGACGGCATTTTCTGCGTATCAAAGTGCTGTACTTAGGATGAATGTATAACTGAACACCTGGAGTTGTTTATCTAAATAGTCCTGTCATCGAATCATCATGTCGATATACTTCCAGTTGTCCTTGACCACTTGTAGGGTTTGGTTCATGACGGTTGTTTAAGTCTCTAAAACGTGTACAAATTTTTGTTGATTTTGGGATAAGTTTTCTATATGACTATTCATTGTTTCGACTTCCTCTGATGTAGCCATTCTAAAGAGAAATTTTAAGATTTTTCCTCCAACGTCGATTATCCTCGTTTTGTTTGAGAGGGATTTCCTATAGTTACAATGGATTTTAATTCTTTATACTCTGCCTCGAAATCAGCGAGGGATCATTGTAGGTTTGTCAGTTCTGCATCAGCTAAAGTCCACAAAGGTTGCATGGGGTCATCTTGCCTCTGTTTTCTCCTCTTAACAATGGGAGTCAAGGAGGTCAGGTGACAATGCAAACCATGAAGGTAGTTGTCGTACTCTTCGAATGATATTTCTATAACCATAGTCCACTGACTTGTGGTCATAAGGAAGTTTCCTTGGTGCAAAAATATGATATCTTTGGTCAAGGTAGGTACAATCATCAATACCTCGTTTACAACGCAACTTAGCAATATGAACAAATAGATTGTTATGAATTTTCCCATCGTTATCTAACAAAAAGGGAATTTACATTACTACTAGTTTTGATTTTGTGACAATTGATTTAGATGTGCATGCGTATTTACAATGGACCTTGCTCCATTTGAAAGATGATACCCCCTTTCACAAAAAAGAGAAACTACCATTTGCAATCAGCGAATAATCCAGTTGGAGTAGGGTGTGGCAGCTATGGGAGACCCTCATTCTGCTGAGCGGTCTCGGTGACCTTCAGGTCCTGCAATGCTCCCACATTTGGTTGTACAATTTCCGAAGATTTGGGAAGGACCCAGGGATACTCACTTACTGGTCCTTGACTTCGGAGAGCATAGTTATGTGTAGATTGCGACGGGGTCATGGGTTATTCAATTTCTGTGTCTCCGGTGGTGTTTGTGGTATCTAATTGTCTTTGCTGCAGTGACTCTAAAATAATTTCATCCCAGGGGTCAATCTGTTCTGTCTGAGGTTGCTCCTCCATTAGGAGTGAATCTGTGTTTTTTGCACCTGGGCTTCCTTCTCCTGCATCAGGTGGTACAAATTCCAACCTAGTGATTGCAGGTTTCAACCTATTAGCATGTGTATGCAATTTCTTCCCAGATTGGATTATTGGACTATAAAATATATGGGGCTCGTTTCCACAATTATTCTATAGGAACCGTACCATCATGGGGCCAATTTTTGTTTCACTCCCACAGGTATAGCTACCTCATTATTAACAAAAACGCTTCCCCAATTGAAAATTTGCATGGCTTATGCTTATGTTGATGATAGGTGTGAGGGGCTAGCCAGGGATACGGAGGAGTTAAGACTCTTCTACCACTTATTCAGCAGCTATTCGTTTGACTAGACCTTGAATTGTCTAAAAGAATGGCTTTTCTATCAAAGAAATCGAGTGCAGAGGGACTTACAGTTTGAGGTAAAACAAAAGCGGAATTAAATGATCGCATAATCACCCTTTTCCTTATCAGGATTCCCGACACCAGTTAATCAGTTTTATTACACGCGGATTAACACGCATTATCACTAACTTGTGAGTATGAGGAACGTAGATAAATTGAATAGGAATAAGTATGAATAGCTAACATTAACCAGACCATATTTATAAAGTAAACCAAAACATTTAATGAATCAAAATATTAAAAATATACAAAGGAATGGATACAAATCGTACTTAAACCTAAATCTAAATAACTAACTTAAATCTAATCTTATATTAAGCCTGACACATGAGAGAGAGTTCACATTGATCTAACGGTTATCATATTACCTTCTCAGTTCTTTCAATATTTCATTGAATGAGAATCTTCTATATTTATGACTATTATTCTTCTTATATTTTCTGTGGCACTTTCCTTTATGGATAACTTTTCTTATGACGATCTTGTCGTATAACTGAATCTATACTTCATATGGAGGACTCTGTAGTATGACAAATTCATATGACAGACTTTCTTCGTGTGGCAATACCTCTTTCGATGGGCTGCTCCAAATGGCGGAAAAATGTCCCTTTTATATCTGCCCTATCTGACGGCCCAGTAGTGTGTGCAAAAGCTTGATTCATCTCATGAGTTGGCCGTGGAAAGGAAATCAACTTCCTTTCTAAAATCGAAAGTTTCTTTTGACATCCGTTTTTGTAAAATTCGTTGAAGTTTAAAATATTATTTTCTATTAATTTATAAATCTTTTTCTCTCCTTGTTTATTTCTCCCAAAATGACTTTCCTTCTAAATCTAGATCCTCACATAGGTATACCTATCATACACAGCTTTTTCTGCATGTTCCTGGGCTAATTTGTGAGCTGAGGCCATCCTCACTCTCAATTCACTGATGTAATTTTCACTTAGGTCACATCAAGATCAATTAGGTTCAATAACAATGTCAAAGGGGTAAATTGAATCTAACTAACCTAACCTAATATCAAATTTTAAGAACAAATGTATATAATTATAAAAAATACTGTATTATTGACAGTAAAATATTATACTCACACAAAATAAAAATGGATTCAATGTAATTTTTGACATTGCTTTCCTTTTATAATATTGTCAATATCTGTGTTTATAGTACTAGTCTTAATTCTAAGAATGTTAGTTAAATGGGAATCCCTCAACCTATTAATTTTAGCAGTTTTGATTGTTTTCATGCACGAAAAGAATTGTTCACAACAATATGTACTACCGCACATGCATAACAGTTTTCTAGATAAAAACAATTTGTTAGCACCAATTACGTCATTATGACATCAAAGTGTATCCAGTGAAACAAGAATAATTTTTACGACATACTTTACCAAAATAAATAAAAATGTACCTAAAAAATTTAGGGTGCAGTGGGCCACAAAAATATTAAGTGGGCTGCAGCACGGGTTGGACATCCCTGCTCTAGCATGACTACACCAGTGTTTACATAAGCAACAACTTATTATCTTACCTTTCTTCTTCAGAACCAAGACCAGTAATTAATTGACCTGCTGATTTTAAACATTCTACCATAGCAGTAGTTTCAGATTGTAAATTATATTTTTGAGAAATAGCATCATCAAATTTTTTATTTGAGTCTTTTAGTTCTTCTTCTAATAATTTTATTTCCTTCCTTAATTTACATAAATTATCTGTTGCATAATTGTAATCTTCTTCTAATTGATTAACCTGTATATTAAAATTACAGAACTCAACATTAATCTTTATTAAATGTCTATTACTACATTCTATTCATTTTGACTATTTATTTGTTTTTGTTCAGAAAATAAATAGTCAAAATCATCAGAAAGTTTGACAATATCAATATGAAAAAATAATTTTTTAGAATAACTGTAAATTATTTAATTTTTTATACCTTGTTCTTTTTTGGTTTTATTTCTTTAAATATAGCATAATAATCCATCAAAGCTAGAATATAATTGAATAATTTACTTCCAGCTTTGCTGATTTGTTTTATTTGTTCAGTATTAATTCCAGGTTCAAGAGACTGAAATGAAATCATCTTTATTAAAAAATTCCATATTGCATATTATGATTTTATTTAATAAAAATTTATGTAAATTAACATTAAAATGAATAAAAAATCTAAATATTATCTGTTTAATGTGAACTTATGTAATAAATCTAGATATTTATAAAAATTTATTATTAAAAATCAAGTTACATATACATCTGATTAAAATGTTGTTTTAATATAGCAATAAATAAACTATAAATGATTTTAGAACTATATATTTATATCATTTAATAAACTATTACCATAATTTTCTACATATTATTTTCAGCAGTGTATATACCCTGAAAAATATTGCTAAAATGAAAATAAAAATGTAATGTAACACAAAAAAAAAAAAAAAAAAAAACCAAACTTTTGTCTTACTGTGCAAGCTACCTCCCTGATCGAGCTTCCAGCAAGTAGTGCCACTTAATGGCAAACTTCGGTAACACAACGCCACTTGGTGCATCATACTACTCTGATGTGTTGGCAATCTAGTGTCAAAGTGAACTCATAGTCATTAATCTGCAAAGTGAAGGTGAAAAATTTAAGGAGCAATATGTTTGTGTGAAATTTTGCCAATCTTAAAAAAAATTTCACACAAACATAGTGCTCCTTAAATTTTTCACCTTTACTTTGCAGATTAGTGACTATATTTTACTAAAACATGCACTTTGCATGTTTTAGTAAAAGGCCTATGAGGAGGACTATGAGCCATTTGCAGTGTCATGATAGGTTTAAGTATTTTAAATCAAGCAGAACATCAATTGAGGAAGATTCAAGATTAAGAAGACCTTCAACATCAACAAATGATGAAAACATTGATGCTGTTTGTTCTGTGATTTGTGCAAATCATCATTTGACTGTGTGAAAGGTTTCTGAGGAACATTGTCTCATGCCATGAAATTTTGACCAAAAAACTTGTAATGCATTGCATCTTTGCAAAACTCATGCAACATCTGTTGACTGACAACTAGAAAGAGAAGCATGCTATGATCAGCCAAGAGCTGCTTCATTGTGCCAATACTGACAAAAATTTCATGAAAACAATCATAACAAGAGATGGAACTTGGATTTACGGCTATGATTTAGAAACCAAGGTGCAATCATCACAATGGGTTGGAAAAATGTAGCCCCAACTGAAAAATGCCTACATGAGTTGGTCAAACTTGAAGTTTGACCAACTCATGTAGGCTTTTTACCAAAATAAACAATGCTAATTGTTTGTTTTTGATTATCGAGTAGTAGCCACCTTGTGGTTAATAATCAAATGATGGAATTCTACTTGATAATCAAATGATGGAATTCTGCTGTTAACAAGGAATTTTAAGTATAAGTTTTAAGGCATTTGAGGGAAGATGTGTATTGGAAAAAACCTGAGCTATAGGAAAACAAGAGCTGGGAGTTGCCTCATGACAACATGCCAAGTCACATGTCTCTGCTTAGCAAATTTTTGTCCCCTAACAACAACTTAGCCATCCTTTGTCACTCTCTGTACTCTCCAGACTTAGTTCCTGCAGATTTTTCATGTTTTCAAAGTTGAAAGTCACTCTGAAAGGATATCATTTTCAAAGTATAAATGAGAGTCAATAGAATTTGCAGACAGCTACATGCCATCTCACAAAATGAGTTCCAGGTAGCATTCCAACAGTGGCAAAAATGATGGTGTGGTGGTACACCAGTATATTTTGTTGTTTTTATTTTATATATGTATATATAAGAATATTCTATTCCCTTTTCTCTTTGTTCTGTTTCTATACTTTCTGGAACTTTCGTCTGAATGTGGGTGGTCAGTGACCTAATTTCGGGACAAAGGAGCGAAGGTAGCCCAGAGGGCAAGTGGGGGGACGATGAGGACACTTTTGGCTTTGGACCGGAGGAGGAAGGACCGTCGGAGAGAGCGGTCTCGAGTTCGGTGTTGCTTCGGCCGGAAGGGTTACGAAGAACACTAAAGATAGAAATAGCATTGGAAGAAAAAAAGAACATTGGTAAAGCCGAGACTAAAGGACGAACTTTGGGTCCTCGCATGTGCTCCGTCCCCATAGAAGAAAAGAATCCCAAGACGAAATCATCTAGTGGCCACCACCGCAGTCAACCATTCGGGTACCCGTTCCTTACTAGAAATTTCCATTCTTGTTCTCCCATTCTATTCTAATTCTTGTTCTTCCTTTCCTCTTCTAGTTATAAGTAGTTTTAAGTTAGTAATTAAGTGTCTCCTTTGTTACGCGAAAGAAAAGTTTAGCTCCACTGTGA